ATTTATCAGCAAAATACCTTCTGTATCCCAAAGGACAGTCGCCATGATCTTTCCGGCCGATTGTGACACTTTAAACTTCTTTGGAGGAGCTGTGCATTTTTTATGCCACTGTATCGATTCTTGCTTCGATTCAGGTACATAGTGGTGAACCCAGGTTTCGTCATCAGTAAAAATCCGGTCCATAACTTCGTCCTTATTCTCTCTACAAAGCTTCAAAAACTGGCGAGAACACTCGACACGCTCGCTCTTTTGAAGTGGCGTGAGCATTCTTGGAACCCATCTTGCAAGCACCTTAGTCATCCCAAGATGCTGATGTAGGATATTTAAAATGCTTGTTTCGGATACTCTAACCATTGCTCTAAGCTGTTTCTTCTTCAACCGGGCATCTTCCAATATAAGTTTTTCTACTTTTGCGACGATTTCCGGTGGGGTGGCCTCAATCGGTCGTCCGGAGCGGGGGTCATGTTCAATGGACTCTCTTCCTTGTTTAAAAAGTCCATGCCACTTGTAAACCATGGTTTTACCAGGGGCAGAGTCCGCGTAAACTGATAACAGCTCTTTGAAAATCGTCTGAGCGGATTTTCCTTGCTTGGTGAGGAACTCAATAACGGCGCGGTGTTCAATTTTCTCCATACTCACTGACTTCTTCCCGATTCACTTGTTTGCAGGTCAACAACGCAAAAGTTAATGACCCGATTTAGTTCAAACTTGGTATATATACTATTAATGAGGTGTTGAACAAGTTACTACCTGGACGAGTAAATCAACCCCCTCCAACCCCTCCATTCCGCGAACTTATTGACCTCCCCTCGTATACATACAGCTATACATACGAATAGATTAAATCGATCAAATTCTTCCCCATGTCCCCAATCTATTGAATTTCGTTTTTTAACCCATGAATATTTTATGAATGTACTCACCGTATTCAGTAATCACGTTTGTCGTTACAAGAACCAATCTTAATTAGTAACCGCTGCCTTTTAAATGACAGAAAAGCGAGAAAGTGAAAACTCGCCTGGAAAACTAACGCTAACCATTTCTAACGTTTTCATTTCCGTCTTTTTGATATTAAATGAATTATAAAAAAATTTCATTATAACTTTCTATTGAGCTGACTTGTTATGGTTTAGGATTTAGTAAATATTATAGTATTATAATATGCAATATCTGTGATTTGTAACTTGAGGTTTCCATTCAATGAATCTAAAATATAAGATTAACTGACAAGGAATATGAAAGTGGCTTACATAACATAGATTTAGAAGAAAAATGTCGTAAAACAAATTAAACATGTTTGCAGGCGTGCAAGAAAGTTTTCCTTATCTTTTTTTTCCTGGCAATTCACCAGCTATAGCCAGGGTCTGCCTTACATGTTGTGAATAATTTCGGCTATTTGTTCTTACGATCATCTGCCTGCCTGACATCAACCCTCTTTGGGAATGCATTAATCAGTGATGTCTAAATACTCTTAGAAAGTACATATGACTCGGAAAAATCACATTTGTACTTGCCAGGGCCAGGATCTAACCTACACCCTCATACATGAGAGACGGGCCTTATAACCACTAGGCCACCACTGACTTAACTACAATTCTTATATATATTTGAATTAAGTATAGTTATGTTAATTATGTAAGTGTTTACGTAAAGGGAGTTTTTTAATGCTCTGACTTTCCACCAACTATGATTTCCTTGCTAAATACCGTGTGAAATTTACTTCGTATGTTGTACTATATGCATTGTTATATATTACTTATGGTCGTAAAAAAATGTGAATTTAACAAACAATGTTATATTTGTAATCTTATTTCTCAATTTCGTTCCAATTGCCTAGATACGAATTGCTTAGGAAGTTCATATATTTTGTATATGTATATGTTTAGATACTAGTTGATATCCACGATTTCGTCCGCATTGTTTCATCATAGTTTAACTACGTACAAGGAAATAAAATCACTTAACACGTAGTGCTTGTGTAAATTGTCAAAACGTTAATAATTTTATGAGTACCAAGTGCCTAAAAAGTTTAAATCTATGCCTTCATTCTGTCTTATTATTTGCATAACTTTATTAGTATATTTATATAGAAGATTAAATTTATTTTATATAACTTACGAGTTTTTGCTTTTAATCTTAATAACTCTTTAAGTCGTTATTGTACGAACGGGCTGCTAATTATTTACATCCACATTTGTCTATGAAGGTCGAAATATAATTTAAATAAACATATTCTTTAATGTTTCCTGTTATATAAATTTTAAGTTTTATTCAATATTTAGTTTAGGAATCTGAAATTATTTGAAGTGACGTCATATTTTTTTGACACTCATAATCATAAGGCTTAGAGCAATTGGTTGAAACAGTGTATATTTCAATATTAATATATAAAAAATAATACTATTGAAATATAATAACTTCTGTGAATATTATTTGTTAGTATTGGTTTGTCCACAAAGAAGATATCAGGGACAATCGTACAATTTAAACGTTTCGTGACTTTCTAACCGCGCCTTGGTTAGATCTTCAGCCGACCGGGTTACCCATTTGGATACAGCCGAACATACGTGAGGACATTTGAAATTAAACGATAAAATGTATCGATATTTTTAATAAACTATCGATGTTTAATACTGGATTTTAATAGGTTTCTTCTTATATACATGTATGTCAGTTTTCAAAATCTTTTTTTACTACGTTAATTCACATAGCTCTACAAATATAATCTAAGGATAGTTTTTGATGGGAATTTTGATTTGTAAACCTACTTTCAGATACGTTATTAATTCTCCTAGTCATAGTAATGAATGCAAACCATATAAAAATGCCTAAAAAGATATTGTATTGTAATACATTTCTATTCTATTAATGTTAAAAATACAACTGTTTGTGAGCATGTTTGATGTTCTTCCTCTCGAAAATTACTTATCGGGATTGAGATAAAACTTTACAATAATGTAGCTTAAACAAAAATAACACCGGCCGTAATTTATCTCCGAATGCCGTAGAGTTACTCTAGGATATATAACAGTTGTATTGTGTACGAAGTCACGTAAAACAGACTAAAGATGTATCAATTATTTACCATATATATGTATAGTCCAATCCACATTATAAATGTTTTGAGCACAAAACCGACATCAAGCGAACAAAACCGCGGACTACAACTAGTCTTATACAAAAGCAATTCATGAACTTAATCTTTATCTGGTATAAAACATTAATATTAATTAATAATTAAGCGTTGAAAGAAGTATTCGATATATGAATAATAAATTGACTTTCACTCATAAAATGTATTAGAAACTTTTAATATTCGTGAGATTTCATCTCAGTTGTTAACTTTCATCAACTTTATTATTATATTTATTTGTTATTAATAGTCTGAGTTGTAGTGACAGTAGTTTAAATGTACTTACTGGTTACAACTAGTCTTTGGTATGCTTGAAGTCTGTCGATGCTGGAATCTCAATGTGGTATAACTATTGTAAATTATTGGAACAATAATTCGTTGAAATTAACATACTATGTGATCTCTTTAAAACGTTTAAAAGCTAGGACTATTTAAGATAAAATACACAGCATATTCTTAATTTAAATTACAAAATAGTGAATGAAAAATTTATTGACACAAACTGGATTCGAATCTGCTTGCTACCTCCGAAATATAAAGATATTTAAATTTGAACTATATGCTCAATATAGCTTAAATATTGAAAAAATAATTTCTGTATTTGCTTATGGGTGTTATGATTTATTGGTAATAAAAATCCTATATTAATATTTCGATTTGACTTGCAATTGATCTTGCAATGGTTTCATCATTGCTTCTGTTACGAACGACAAAATTGCCTGTGATTTAAATGATTTACGATCATTGTTTTGTTGGTCTGATTTTTAAATTAATACTGTTATTTTAAGTAATATATATATTAATAAATTTGGCGGCATTGAACTATACTGTACGTAAGTGAAGGCTTCCATTCAAAACTAAAGTATGAAGTGAAAACTTACCTTCTGCAACATTTTTCTAAGAAACCAACAATGTGAATATTTTATTCGTCGTAACTGTGAGAAGCTTTCAGAATAAGGAAGCGAGAAACAATAGCACTGTGTATTTAAAAATGAAGGTAGACTTTTCTGGTAGACTTACGACGAAAAATATTTTGACATATAATAAATGCTTGGTTAATAACTTAGCTGATTTAATATATAAACTTTTTGGTGTCGAACAATTAAAAAATAAGCTCGAATAGTCTAAAGAGGTTTTATAAGGTTTTTCTTCGAATTTAAAATTTCCACGCACAAGGATGTATAAAATTCTTACAAGTTATTCATTTGCAGACGGAAACGGCTGCCGGTTAGAATGAGTCAATATATCGGAATTTCATAGTAATCAACGTCTTGTATATCTTGATATTTGTATTACGCGTCAATGTATAATGTATTGTAGATGTGGGTAGTGAGAAAGTTAAAACGGAAAGGTCAAGTGCGACTGGATTTTGATGACGAAAGAGCTTAGCTGATTGTATGTACATGCGACATATGGTCCTAGATATAATGGTTATGTATATGATTATCAATAGATATACAGGGTGACTGGTGAATTACTATCAATATTTAAGGAGAATACTCGGTACATGATTCTCATTCGAATTATGTAAGAAAAATAGGTACTTAATTTTTGACCAAATTTCCGCATAAATAAATAAAGTGTGGACACGTTCCAAGTGTTCCAAGTGTGGACGCGTGCGGCGGCGTGCTGATACAACACCACGCCGCCGACGTGTGTGTGTGTGTGTGTGTATATATACCTAATCCGTAGGGTGTTCACACGATGCGTAATTAATTACATAACTTTTGGTTAACTTTACTTAGAAGTTTATTTATGTTATATTAATTTTTATTTTGTCATATATGATCGTCATATATCACGTCCTCAAATATCGATAGTAATTCACCAGTTACCCTGTATAACGTGATTATCATGTTGTTTCCAGTTGAAATTTACCTATCGCCTGTCGAGACTCACTGTAGTAATGTCGACTACTTCGTGCCAGATGAGAACAACGAAACCAAAGGACTTTCAGACGACGCTATGAACAGGTATGACTACATTACACCGACTTACAAAGAAGAGTGTTCTGTGTTACATTTATGTTTGTATGTTAACGATTTTCTCGAAAACTAAGAATGTTATTTCGTTACGTTATACATATATCAACAAAAAATAACTTTAAAAAAGTTTTAGTATTAATATAATTACGCCTAATTAAAATTTTTGTATCTACGTAACTCTTAAATATAATTTTTTATATGTTTATTGTGTAATAATTCGATTAATTCATTAATTACTAGACCAAATCCAGCACATTGACACTAAGAAAGTAACTGTCACATAAAGACCTTGATAAGTTGTTTTTAATATTAATCTGATCGATCTAAACTTGTTTAAGTATTGTTTAATACATTTTTTTGTTACATATTTCTCAATAACATCGTAGTTGATATCTCTGTTTTGTTAGGTAAGTATTTCTTGATTTAATTGCGATAAATCTGAACTGAACATATTTTTCGCCTTTCATCCTCGCCTTCACTAATCAATGATACTATTATATAGTATATACAGACCAGGGCTTCCCAAAGTTATTTTGTTCATTATTTTGAGAATCAATTATTTTTTAAGAACCTATTAGTCATATACTGAAAAACCACTATAATTTAACCTAGCTTAATGAAACTACAAATCAACGCCCAGACCTCTATACAACGTCCCAATTTTTCTCTCAGTCTCTTACCGTCCCCCTTTAAGTCTGTAACGCTTACAAAGGGTAGTTATCACGCACGTTGAGAAAGGCTGATATAGGTCAACATTCCAACATTATGAAACCCTTTTACCTAAATTTATCTAAACCAGGCTGAAGTGCCCTCACTTTGGGAAAGGCTGATATAGACCAAAACTCCAATAATAAGCCCTTCTATTCCAATTAATCTACACCAAGCTGTAGTGCCCACACTTTGGGAAAGACTGACATAGACCAACATTCAAATAATAAGCCCTATTATTCCAGGCTTTAGTGCAAACACTTTGACAAACGCAGATATGGACTATCACTCAATATCATACTTTCCTTAAGCCTTTTTTCATTCCATTATATTTCAACCAGGCTGCACATGGCTCGTTCCACGGTGGCGCTGTTCATAGTCGCGTTCCTGTTCCTCTTCATAGCCTTCTGGACCGGGGTCGTGGGCTGCTGGAAGAGGAGCCCTGGGAATATTACCGCCACCGCTATACTTATGCTCGTCACTTGTGAGTATGATATATAATTAAACTATTAGATTAGGTCGGAATTATAACTATGGGTATACAGATACGGATTTTGTATGTATGGGAGTCTAAACAGTAAGTTTTTTGTTGAAATTCAAATTATAATAGTCTCAACTAGAAGGTGGTGGCCTAGTGGTTAAAGGGCCCCCCTCTCGTTGCCGAGGGCGCGGGTTCAAATCTGACAAAGTACCAATGTTATTTTTCGGAGTCATATGTACTTTCTGCGAGTATTTAGACATCACTGACATACGGTGAAGGAAAACATCGTGAGGAAACCTGGACTTACTGTTTCACAATTATAAGTTTGAAATCACAAACCCGCCTTGAGCAAGCGTGGTGATTAATGCTCAAACCTTCTCCATGCGAGAAGAGGCCTTTGCTCAGTTGTGGGCTCTGATAGGCTGATGACGACGAACTAGAAGATAATTTCTTTAACAAAATACGTCAATAACTATATTATGTACAAACGAACGGCATTTTTATTAAATAAAAGCAAAAACTAATACATATAATTGAGGAAATTGTTAATTATATTAAAATAAAAAACATAATTAAATTGCATTACGTATAAAATACCAAACAAAAATAATGAAGTATTTTTTTCAAATCTTATTATTTTTATCATTATATTGTATAATAATTTTAACAACAATACTCTTTTTCTCCAGGAAGAAGTATATTATATTATATATATTTAATGTATTTATGAGTAATGTTTATTAAATATAACCTTCTGACGGCCTTCTTCAAGGTGGCTGTCAAAATGGTCGATCGAGAACATTCGGAATTAAATCTTAATGTATTTTTATCAAGTTTATCGTCACTACATAAGGAGAGTTTACAGTTTTTCATTAATAAATATTCACACATAGTAATAATGGTTATCATTGACTGGGAGACGCCAAACGTTGCGTTGGCAGTACTAAGAATACAGTACAAGTATTTGACAGCGTTTACGTAATATTTTTGTAAAAAATTATCAATTTTATTCCCTATACAAAACACGTTCTTCTTTTCTTTCCTTACAATTTAATTATTTAGTATTACTTTTTACTGATTTGGTGATGTATCATTAAAATTATTCTTTTTTCTAATGTTTAATGATTAATTTTATTTCATATAAGTCACGTTATCTTTACAGGTTTACTGTCAGCCGGGGCCATGGCGTTATGGCACGCTGTTGAATTTTACGAGAAGGAGAAAGTTGTTGGAGAAGAATACTATCAGCAGTGGCCCAATGTAAGTTATTGACACCAGAAAAAATAAAGTTATCAGGGCTGGCACTTCATAGTTTAATTATATGTATTATTTTGAATCAATTTTCGTATCGGAATTTATGAAGTGACAACCCTGTTAAAGCCTAAACCCTACAGTCACATGAAAGATATCTGACCAACACAGGTGTTAAAAGACAACTCCTCAATATGGTACGACTGGTCGTACATTCTCGCCTGGTTGTCTGTAGCCGTGTCCTTCGGCAGCTCTGTGTTATTCTTCTCAGCAGCCATTTGTCTGAGCAAAGAGAAGAGACGCGAACAACAGAATAACGTGCAGTACATAATGCCAGGTTAGACGCCACCTTGGACTGGCTCGACGTTACTTGGTGTTCATGAATAACGCTTGACGGTTACGGATTATATGGTTTATGTGCCTTCATATACACTTATACGGCGAAAACAACGTCCATGTATATAAATAATGTGTATATAAGGCACATTTAAGTTAAGGGAAGACCACGTAAGTATCTGACACTAACAAAAGGCTTTCTTTTCTTTTCATGTTTCTGTGAAACGTGGCTACTTCGTTAACGACGGATTTGCGACCATATAACGCATAACATACGCGCTATCCTAATATCTGGTTTAAAACGCCATACTAACCTGCTTTATATTAACACACGGGGAATGTATATATACCTAATACCCTGGACCTCCTTCCACTCCTGTACGAATTAATTATCGGTGAAAACAAATATACATGTAACATGTTCAAACACGCAATATATTGTCAAACTTGAATACAATATCCTCGTTATCCACCAACGCCCTCCTACCACGACATCCATCTATAAACCAGATATTGCGTGATAACGCTCGCGTGTGGTACGACTGGTCGTACATGGTAGCGTGGTGCGGCGTCGGTCTGTCGCTGATGTCCGCCATCTTGTTCTCCTCGGCCGCCATCTGTCTGCGCGGGGAACGCGAGCGAGAGGAGGCGCTTAACATGCAGTACCTCATGCCGGGTAACGAATACCATTCATTCAAACGACCAAATCATTCGTTCATTCGATGGGGTACAGTTGAGTAAAGATCTAGTACCTTCCATCGCAAGAGAAGGAATTTGGATCAAAAAATTTGTGTCAAAAAATTCATTCATTCATTCCCTTAATTGTTTTAAATTTTTTCTAAATTTGAATCTTTAATGAAAATAATACATATTTTACTGTTGTACATAAGCTACTCTGTTATTATAATTCATGGGTGCATGTTGTTTCGATATAATACGGTGTTCAAGGTGTGGTATGAATTGAGATTTGTTATATTTGATTGTAAATGTAATGTCTTATATATATTTTCCAGTGTACCCTCAAAAGCAGCAATACGCGTACGCGGGCTACCCTCCGCCCCAGGCGTATCCCGGGCCATATTACCACGGCTCTCAATACGGACCTTATAACTACTGAGCAAGCGACCAGATGAGGGACTTAGTGGCGGCTCACAGCGTCCCCGCCCCGCAGGCACCAGCGCGTAACACACACACACACACACAACCATCATACAACATGGACACATTCAACTCACACGCGAGACTCAAACGACCGAAACTAGGCGACAAGAAAGTCTATCGTCCAGTGCGAAGAGCGACTTTATCCAGGATAGATGAAACTCCCACCAATAGAAGCTATAAATCCATGGACTTCTCAACGCGTCCTAACATGAGATCCAGATCAAACGTCTCCGCGGATACTAGCCGTAGCGTGCCAGTCTGTAATCAGAGTCAAGATATACAAAACCCTGAATACAGCAGTCTGAATGACACAAAAGCTTACGATTCATCCGAGGATGTGCCGGCATCTATGACGGATTTACCGATCATGGTACCTTTAGATCGCTCCACTGGCTCATACATACCATATCCAGAGTATTCGTACGATAGCTATCAAATCGGTCGATATAAATATAAGTCCAAGAACAATAATCTATTCCTAGCGTTCATGTATTAACCGGTGCCTGATGAGTTTCAAATGCCGTATAACTAAAGCCACACCCATTACGTCCAAATTATAATCCTTCCTCCACATAAATCACCTCCCTTTGTCATGGGTGGCCCGAATCTGGTGATAATATATATTTCATTGGCACAAATATATTGAAGATGTGATTTTATCCAAGTTACGCGACAGAACATTTATATGACAAAATCTGATATTAAACTATCAATGACATAAACATTTCTTATAAAATGTGTATTTTTTTAACGAAAAACATAAAAAAACTGTTTATTATGTATGAATCAACATAATGCTCGAACGTATTATTATAGTAACTTTGATAACATCGCCTCTTCGTCTCTAAGCACGGCTTTACGAAACTCCGACACAACAAAAACATCGTTTCAATTATTTTTTTCGAACAAAATATATAACGAATTTAGCATAATATATATTAGGTTAGATATAATTTAGGGAGTAAGTCGATAGCGACTCCGCCATAAGTACTGCAAAACAAACCTTTTAGTTTAGTATCACACTTCAGAGGTGTTCTACTGCTCATATATACGGAACCATTTTAATGTATAGGGTTTTAAAATTTCGCGTACAACGAACTATGACTGAAATTCATTTCAATCCGTCCGGATGTTACACGTAATTTGTTCTTGTATTATTATTATATATATAATTATATTAGTCACTCTTTAAATATTCAAATTAGTTAAGTGAGACTGTAAATTAATCTATTAGGTGTATCCTGGTAACATTATTTTATTGATGATTTAATTTTTTAAGAATATTTTGTACTTGAATTTGTATTTAAAATTTCAAATATAAAAATTATAAAATTTATACCGTATTTTTATTTCTAAATCTATATACTTATAATAAATCTGTAGAGAGGTCAATTCTGTACATAAAATATATTTAAAAAATAACTATCAGGGGGTGGTTAGGGATAGCTACTGATGCCAAAAATGCAATCAGTAAAATTGTTGTCTGTCTGTATATTCGTTATGGAAACAAAAACTACTGGATGGATTTTAACGAAATTTGGCACAATTATTCTTCATACTCTTGGGCAGGTTATATATAGTATACTTTTCAGGGAAGGGAAATATTGGGAAAACGGGAAAAGTAACTCCATTCTTTAAGCTTCCGTCGCATGTGCAGGCTTATAGGTTAAAGCTACATAGAAATCATGTATGATGAAAATATTCTCCTTAAAATTATATAAAAAGTTTTTCTGGACCCCATACGTCTATCTTTTATTGTTGACTCACAATAACACGTGAAACTCCCGATAGCTTAGCAATTCGGAGATTTCTGATTGTATTTGTCTACTCTAACGTTTACAACACTATCACTCATCCCTCATTTAAAAAAGTTAACATTATTACCTATTCAATGAAAAAAGAATCATGTAAATCTGTGTAGAAAAACACCAAACTTACCTATACTTATAATAAATCTGTAGAGCAATCAATTCAATAATCAAGGGAGTTACACGCTAGTTAATCTAATAAGTAAATGAAAATAAATTTTATGAAAAAAATATTTATTTGGTTTACATAAAAAAATATTCTTAATATGGCTAGGGGATGGAATGTTAATTGCAGTAGTATCACATCACATGGGCTTAATAAGAATATGACTTAAATATTGAAATTATATAAAAAAAGACTAAAATACAGATAATACATATGAAACACACGAACAGAACTTGAAATGTCATAAATAAAAAAAAACTATTATAAATGTATACTGTATAGTCCGTTAGACTTAAGTTGAGCTTTGCATTTGTGTAAGTGAAAGTAAAAGTAGAGTTAGATAAAAAAGTTTTGAGAATTAAATATATTATATTTTAAATAGATACATAATATATTCTAGATTAAAAATAAAATAAGCAAAACTTGTAAAAGGCCAATGGGAAGAATTATTATGTAATAAAAATTATGAAAAAACAATACAAATTTTTCTTCACGTGACATTCAATTTTCAACATTTGAAGTTGCTACCATTACAAAGGGTGAAGTGAAGGTGCGGGGCGGAGTAAAAGCAGAATAAACTGGTTAAAAACTAGAAAAGAACATTTCATTCAAAAATTTGACATCACACCTACACTATCCGTGTGCACTCACAAATGCAAAGCTCAGCTTAAATCAAACGCACTATAATTAAATATATACGTCACTTGTCAAATTTTAAACGTCATATTGGAAGTCTTCTAGAATGTATCGTAATATGATTATATATAGCACACAGATTATTATATATTTATATAGCGGTATCTATCATGGGTCCTGGTTGTGATAGAGCCTGTTTCCTCTCCTGAACAGCTGTTACCAGCTTCCTATACGGTCCTAAAGGTAATCCAAGGCTCTTCATGTCACTCTCAGTGAGTAGCATCAACGCGTCCAAGTCAATTTGCTCGTCTTTAAACTTCTGGACATACTGTGATAAACCCCACGCGGTCAGAAACCGTTCGAGTGACGAGTATCCAGTCTCATCAGCTTCGGGTTCTTCATCAGATGTTATTGTGGAACTGCCTGGTGATGGAAATTTAAAATATGACTTCGATCTTAGGCGGGACTAAGTAAGAAAACAATGTGTGATAGAGAGAGTGGAACTAAATAGATTAAAAAATATATGCTACTAATATTATAATTGCGAAAGTTTGTGAGTGTGTGTGTATGTTTGTTACTTATTCATGCTCAAACTGCTGAACCGATTTTTATAAAATTTTGTACACATACAGAAAGCTGACAACCAGGAATAACGCATAGGCTACTTTACATCCCGGAAATTCGCGGGTAACACCGCGGGGCGCAGCTAGTATGTTATAAATAGTGTAGGGTCGTGGTGGCTTAGAGATTTAAACCCGCCTCATGCATAAGAGCGCGGGTTTGAAATTTGGCAACTACAATGCGATTTTTCAGTCATATGTACTTTCTAAGAATATTTAGACGCCACTGACAGACGATGAAGGAAAACATCGTGAGGAAACCTGGACTCATAATTTCTAATTATAAGTTTGAAATCACCAACCCGTCTGAACAAGCGTGGTGATTATTGCTCAATCTTTTTCCATGAAGAAGTTGCTTTTGCTCAACATTGGGCTCTGATAGGCTGATGATAATTATATATAGTTTAGTATATTATATGTAGTGTATATACCTGATTGTGTAGAGGCCCACTCAGCTGGCTGGTACGCGTGTCTCGCTAGTGAGCCGGCAGATCCTATAGATAACTCCTCACTGGCTGGCATCGCGCTCAGTGTCGCTGTTATAGAACGTCTGAAATAATATACATACAGGAATTAATAAAGAACTTCAAAAACATATAATTTTAAACATATTTAACGATTTCTTTAGTAAAAATTAAATGTATTTTTCAGCACCCATCAAATCTTTTGTTGAAAAAGATCAATAAGATTTTGATCAATAAGATCAAGCATAAATAAATCGTCTAAAAAGATTAAAACCTCATAGAATTGTAGTACAGGCGGTCCTCGACTTACGTCGTTTCGATTTACGTCGTTTCAAGTTACGTCGAACAATGTTTTGACACTATTCCTCAAGCATACGTCATTTGTTTCGATTTCCGGCATATCGGAGAATTCACTTGTCGCAAGGTAATGTCCGTGAGGGGCGCGGGCGGGGCGCGGTGTCGTCTCGTGCGAGGAATACCCCGCAAATGTCGCTGATTTTGTTTAGTACATTCAGGGACAACGGACAATCAAGACGTAATAAATTAGTTTTTTTGCATCTTTGACAGTTTTTGTGTTTACATATGTAACACACAAATACCAAAAATAACTATATAATTATTTTAAGAACTTACTTTTAATAATAAAGTACGTCCTTTGTTATAAATGCAGTTTTTTTTATTATTTCGAGTCCGTGTGGAACCTAACCCTTGAGTTTTACATGTAAACATATGAAAAAATATGTTTCGATTTACGTCGCGTATTTCAAGAACCTAACATGCCGTAAGTACGAGGACTGCCTGTATTCAAAAATACAGTCGAGTCAAAACCCTCCTTTTAAAGACAGATAAAAAAAATATAATTTTTGTAATTTATTCCTTATATTAAATACTTATTTAAACGATAAAATAATGTAAATATTAAGTCGTAATATATCACCTAAACGCCACACTACCAAACCCGGGTCTGTCAAATATACTGGCCGGTTCTTGCAGCAACACTTCCTGACCGATGCCGTTGTCTTCGTTCTGTTGTGCTGCTAAGAAGTCAGGCTGACTGGCTGATCTACATTAATATTACGAGCTTAATCAAAATTTTCTACAACAATCAACTATATAGCAGTCATTTTCTACGCTAGCCGAAAAAAACAATTCTTCTATCTAAATACTATAAAAAATCTCCAGCTAATATCATACATATAATACTCTTTATTGCACTGTAAATTTACAGAGTTATTTTACATATAAAACCATTGTTCACATACTTCAAAGCTATAATGAAATTTTCATTTAATATACTGTGAATGTCACATAGAGCAGCCTACGAAGACAATAAATAGTAGTAATTTTCTACGCTAGCCCAAGAAAAAACAATTATTCTAGCTAGCTATCATAAAAAATATCAAACTTAAAAGCTATGATGAAAATTCCATTAAATATACCGTCTAAGATCCATAGAGCGGTCATTTTGGATCCCCCCTACCTGGTGAGTAATGGTTTTTCAGTGAATACATCAGCTACGGGAGCTCGTTGTTGAGGTCCGGCCCCGAAGGTACCCACGTACATGACCTCTGAGTCGCGACGCACTCCGCTCAGTGAGGTCACTGAACGACGACCCGTCGTCTCTACCTCGCCTACCTACCACATAAACTATTTACTAAGATGTCCGAAATAAAGATACATATACAGGGTGACTGGTGATTTACTATCAATATTTAAAGAGAATACTCGGTACATGATTCTCATTCGAATTATGTAAAAAAATAGGCACTTAATTTTTGACAAAATTTCCGTATAAATAAATAAAGTGTTGACACGTTCCAAGTGTTCCAAGTGTGGACGTGTGGGGCGGCTTGCTGATACAACACTACGCCGCCGCACGCGTATGTGTGTGTGAGTGTATACCTAATCTGTAGGGTGTTCACACGATGCGTAATTAATTACATAACTTTTGGTTAACTTTACTTAGAAGTTTATTAATATTTATGTTATATTAATTTTTATTTTGTCATATATGATCGTCAAATATCACGTCCTCAAGTATCGATAGTAATTCACCAGTCACCCTGTATACATATATATTTATATATAATTTTGTTTGGAACGGTTTTCAGTGAATTACTACAGGTCAGTTTTTTGTTCAGGGATTGAAACTAGAATGTGATATTTCGGAAGCTGTGGTTTCGTTTTCTCGTGACGACTTTTCATTCTATATTATAAATACTATAGAATATTTTGATTCAAGCATTCAGCTAAGCATAGTTTTAATTTTATATCTATACTAGCTTTCCGCCCGCAGCTTCGCCCGCGTGGAGTTCGGTTATATCGCGTTTCCAAGAGAACCTTTCAATAATCTGGGATAATAACTATCCTATGTTCTTTCTCAAGGTCAACTCTATCTCTGTACCAAATTTCATTAAAATCAGTTAAGTAATTTAGACGTGAAAGTGTAACAGACAGACAGACAGAGTTACTTTCGCATTTATAATATTAGTAGGGATACACATATGTATATATAGAAATTGTATTTTTAACACAAATTGGTATGCATAGTCTACGATCAAACATCAAAAGAAAATGGAGAAAGGTGCATCACACAGAAAAGCTTTGTTTTAATATGGTAATAAGACAAATGTTATCAACGCATATACACAGTTGAATGGCGATGAATAAAAAAACATACGAAATATACAAGTACTACTACTGGCTTTGATGAAATCCTAAAATGTGATACTTGAGTCACGTATTGTCCATGTTCTAAAGTGTTATTTGGAAGGACATTTCATTAAAATAAAGAAGACATGCTGTATAGAATTCCAAGACTTTTTGGACAGCTTGGAGATAAACTTTTAATTCGTCACCAACCTTGAAGTCATCTCTAACGCTAGTTTTCCCAAGAGTTCCGTTCTTGAGTTTGCTGGCCAGAGCTTTCTTATAGACAGCGCCTCTACCTCGCGCTCCTGAAGACACCGTGCCTACTAACGCGCTGTACGTCGGACGAGGTTCGTCCAGAAGATTACCTGATGATTTACAGATTAGAAGTTATACAAGATAATTAATACTCTTAGTAATATTCATTAGCAACAAAATTTATATGGCATAGATCTCAAATACTCGTCTTAATTAGAATTAATGTAATAGATTTTTTTTTAAGTTTTTCGGTAAATACTGTCATTTATATTACTTCTTATAACATTAACTGATTATAAATAGAAAACTATATATATTTGCAGAATGATGATCTTCTTAGTGGTGGAAAGAAGACCTCATGAGAAAGCTTACTAACTTTCGTATACGTTAATCAAAGCCTTTATATCACGAATGAAGCTTTATATCCAAGAAATATTTTGAGACAGTTTTTGGGATATGCTATGTTATTGAACATTTAACCTGTATGTACCTTGACTTGACGAGCGTGTCATTTTCTGTTTCAGAGCTAGCAACACGTTGCTAGGTCTATGCGGCATGGTCGTTATTTCTTCATTGTACCCGTGGTCCCATTCTCTTGCCAGTTTCTTTAATTCCTTATCCGCCATCACCTCCGCCTTACTCTGTCTTTTAGTGTACTGCTTTTGAAGTTTCTCATGATCCTTTTTTGCCTTTTCTTTGAGGGACTTCGCCTTTTTCCTAGAGTTATCGTAGAATAAATATTAATTAGACTTCTCAATTTCTGTTTAAGTTGATATGTATATTTTGATATGACGGCTTTTGTGTGTAATTTTATATTGCAAATAATCAAGGCAAACGTGTTGTGCTTTTGCTTTGGTATTTTTAATTATCTTTAATAAAAATGTATTCTGTGTTCTTTTGCTAATTTATAAAAAATATTTATCAAATAAAAATATTACGATTTCAATATGAGTGAGTAATCCTATTATATGAGAAAAGCTTTATAGATAGTAATCCTCATATTAATTTCATACTTGTCATTATTCTCCAGTTTTCCAATAGTTTGATCAAGGAAACGCAGTATATCATCTCTTCCATTGATGGCGGCCAGCTCCTGGGCCGTGTGACCGTCTACATCCATAGCGTACAGGTTGGCACCAAAGTTCACCAAGAACGTCACGCATTCCTTATGACCGCGTGCAGCAGCTAGGTGGAGGGCTGTGTTGCCGAAGTAATCGTATTTATCAGGTTCACCCCTGGAAAATATTGTTTTGATATGTTATTAACGATAATTAAAACGTTATTTGTATTAATTATTTTAGATGGATAATATGTTTAAATGTCTAATATGTTGTTATATTTCACATAGAAAGTATAGGCTGGTAAAGTTTTAACATCAAATTAGTGCTAAGGATTTCGATGGAACTTTATGGTTAGGTCAGTCAGTGGTGGCCTAGTGGTTAAAGGCCCGCCTTTCATGCATGAGTATGGCGGGTTTGAAAACTGGCAAGTACTAATGTGATTTTTCCGAGTCATATGTACTTTCTAAGAGTATTTAGACATCACTGACAGACGATGAAGGAAAATCTGGACTTAAAATTTCAAATTATAAATTTGAAATCACTAACCCGTCTTGAGCAAAGCTTGTGAGAAGAGGCTTTTGCTCAGCAGTAGACTCTGATAGGCTGATGATAATGTTTTTTCAATTTAATTTTAGGCCAAAAAAAATAAGGAAATGAATACACTATCAGCTATAATACAGTAAAACCCTATTTATAATCAATATAACTCTTGTAGGTCTTATCTTTTATCTATACGTCATTAATTACGAATTATACTGTTTATCTGATAATAATAAATTTTAATATAATTTATTATTTTATATTGCACGTTATAAATATTTCGCTATGAGTAATATACACGTCATATCCATAAGTGAATATATTTATACTATTACTGTATTATAGTAATATAATTCAACGTTTTCTTAAGCTTCTGGGAGATTATTAAAATTAAATTTTCAAACGCAGATAACTGATGAGTAAATATATTTCCATATTAGTTTGTTCTATACAACACACCAATTATTATTTTTTTATTATTCAATTATTCATACAATTTAAGGGAAATCAGAGGTGTGAGGTGAGATTAGTTGTTTAAAAGAAAAAACTGAATATAGTTATATATTTCGAGCATTTTCTATGAGATTACACAATTTGTTTGTAGGTTTTGGAGTAAAAAAAGAAATCCATTGTTTTTAGTAAATCACAGGCAATCGCCTTGATAACCTTCTAGTGTAAAAATAATATTTCCTTCCAGAAACTCAAAAGATTTAAAAATCAGATTAAAGAGCTATTATGTTTAGGTATTGGTTTTAAAACTTAATGCTCCAAAATGTTTATTGTTATATATAATTGTATAGGTAATATTATGTAATAAGTTATGTAATGTATTACCCTCTCCCACACAGCAGCCTCAGAGCCTCAATGTGTCCTTCGAAGGCGGCCCACAAGGTCGGGGTCATGCCAGATTCATCTTTGTTGTTGCACTCCTTCCTCGTAGCTTCCCGAAGAACCTCCAAGAGACCATCTTTAGCTGCTCTGGAAATTATAATCGAATATCTGATGACTCGATTTTAATTTAATTTATACTAAAAATAATAATAAACGTTAATTGGTGAAACTACACCACTACAAAACTAATAACAAAATAAAAACAGAATAAAACTTATCCTATGTATACAAAAAAGGAAAAGGAATTTATCGAATATATGCGTGTTATAATTTTCAACTTCATATTTATGTGGATAGATTTATTATTAGCAAGTTTGTGTATTAATGATCGTGAAATCACACTGTAATAGTTTTAGTTAAATAAGTTTTATCAAACGAAAATGAAATGACGATATGCGCAAAAAAACTCACGATGTATCCGGAAGTGATGTAGAGTGAACCGTGATATGATCACAATAGACGAATAACTTTCACCCACAGAGTAGACACATGTCATCGTGAGAACTAACTTATTAGGCGTCAATGGTTAATACACGCAATACACTCGCTCTATTAGATGACTTTCACTCATCTTATAATGAGATGTAAACTATTATAAACATGATATTAATTAATATTATTTATTATATACGATTATTACAGTTGTAAGTTTAACGAAAAGTTTCGGAATGTACATATCTTAGGTATTGAGGTATCCTTAAATTAGGAGGGTTTATTGAATCCAAAGCTAAGCTAAGCGAGGAACTCGCTTTAGCAAAAGTCCAGCACTTCTTCGACCCGGGATAGCTTCTTTGTTTATACAAAGCATAGGTCCGTCCGTGTGTTTCTACACTGAATAGAATACTGCGGTCGCAAATTGGTTAAATCACATCTACTCAGCCTAGAGTATAGGCGAAAAGTAGCCAACCTATATGAATCCTATAAGATATGTTAGTTGTATCAAGAGTGTGCAGGTATTTCACGCTTTAATTCTTGCATCCCCTTTCTATCATCGCAATACTGTAGGAAGGGTAGGGCTTCATCCATTCGTTGTAGACCTCATTCGCATCTACACGAAGCAACGCTTCCTCCTTATTGATAGGTACAGAATAGTTTGTCTGTGTCTGTTTCCTTCGAATGATAGTTTAGGCGTCTTTAAGAAAACAATAGGCTGTTACTGATACCTTCAAATAAGTGGAATGACGGACAAAAACTATCTAGTTTGAATTTAAGAATTGTATTGAAATAATTATGATGTTATAATTTTAGTCGTTTTTTGTACTCTAGTGGGTATAACTCTGGTAACCACGGTAACGTGACACCTGCGAAGCTTCTCGATAAGCTGATAACGTTGTATTTTAAACAAAATGAAACTCTAAATATTAGCATTAAAGTCGTTAATTGTCTGTAAAACATTCCCTCATATCTGTTGGACCGTAAAAGTGCGGGGTGAAAAACGATAAACCACCTTCAAATTATTACAATAGTGTTTTTATCTGTGTTTTAGAGGTTGCCAGGTGTTAGGTCGAATTGTGTTTACAATAACTACGGAAGTAACGATGTAGGAGACACGCTCCAGGTGTCACAGGAGTTCATTAACCGAAATTAGAGACAAAATATATACATATATATTTTAATCTATTGAAAAACAGTTGCTAAGAAGATTCTATTCACTATTTCGAATTTGTAATAACTAAAATATAGAATAAAGATTTACCTTTTTGGTCCTTCTTTTACGATTATTTAACTTAATACTGCTTTCATGAATCAGTGTCAATGAAAGGTATTTTTTTACCGCTTCCAACCTGTTTAATATGAGTCGGAACTAGTTGTAAACAGAAATTGTATGTCATTTCCAGTTACCGATTAAGAATATCAGATTTCTAAGTAACCTGATTAAATTCTGATTTGGAATTCAGTCTCGACCTGTCCTGATTTTTTTTATATTAGACTGTATTTTGAAAGCAAATGAAAGTATTGAAAAAGAACGATTGAAATTTAAAATCGTTTTTAGCAGAATAACTACTTGTATTTCTCTGTAGAAGTTAAAATTTAGTTTAATTATGTAAGTAACTGAAAACATGTTAGATTTATTGGTTAAAAAGAGGATGGAGTTAAAATTAAGACATGGTATGTGCGTTAGCGTGTTGAAAATATTTTAATGAACTCGACTTCACTTAAGAAATCTTATTATCATTTAAATATTGACGCTCACAATGTTAATTAGATATTTTCTAATATTAATGAATTTAGGTTTAATTTTTTTTATATTATCTAATAGGAATGTCGATATACATAAATGTTTGAACAGAAAATGAAGATAATCTTCTTTATGTATTGTGTTCGTTAAGGTATACAATAGGTACATCTAAAGGCAATACAGATGTAATTCAGGGTTAAGATCAAATTTTTTTTTTGAAAATTAACGTGGTAGTATAAATTTTCTTTAATTATAACATACTCGCATAATACCCACGGTTACCTTACGTACCAATACGAAACAGTAAGAATGAAAACATAAAACTGAAAACAACAGTACTTTTTATTTTAATAAGGAAGAACTAAAGAGATTGTAATCGATTAACGTGAAATATATAATTATTACCAGAATTATCGATACATTATCGTCTGAAGAATGAAAAGATAGCATCGAATAAAAATACATAAGATATGAAGGTACTTACTTGTGGAACCTATCTGTTGTCATTTTGAAAGGATTTATAACTTCAAGATGATACAGTAACTAGTTTATAAGTTTGTTCAACTCATTTTCGTGGAATACCACAAAATTGATAATGCTAGAAAGTAGAAAACTTTGTCACACTTTACACTTTGATCATCTGAATTAGTTTGTTTTTGTTTTTTTTTTTTAATTTCACCACAATCGTTATAAAAAAATTATGCTAAAATACTGAACACAATGTTGCACTACGTAATATTAGTTATGAACACAGGTGCAACTGTTATCAAAATGTCAATAATATATTAAATTTCAGACAATTGTTATCAAAAGTATGTATAGGTACGACTAGTGATATAAACCTTACTGCACCTGGTTCGTGGGAAAATGCGAAATTACTGAACAACTGTGAATATAGCAACAATATGTTTCAATGACCTTTTGTAGGACAGTGCCATCTTGTCAATATTGGTAGAACTAAATTGATGTTGTGGCACTTATATCCGCTATTGCTTGATAGATGGCGATAGCGTCGTCAAATATGTTGTTTGCTTTTCGATAAGAGATGGAACAAGTTGTTCGTAACCTGTTAAATTAAAAATTTCAAAAATATGTATAAATTGTAAGACTAAAATATTTTATTTTATTCAAAGGTATATAGTTATATAGTTTCAAATTGATAAGGAATTTATACGGACATATGAACTTAACGATTATAGACTTATGTATCGTTGAGATTTCTTGGTTAAACAAAATATATATTATAAAGGTGCTTATTAACTGACAGATGAAATAAACACTACGTTTCAATTACAGTGACCAGCAAACTAAACAAGACCTATATAATAAATTCAGAAGGGCCCGTTTCGCGCGTTCTAATTGGATTCAGAGGCCCGAGCAACCAATTAGGGAGAGCGAGAGACAGATAACAATATAACTTTTAGTGAATTATATGTATTTAGGTGTTTAAATACTTGCAGCGGTTGCACAATAATGTTTACGGAAAAAAATGCACGTATCAAATTGATATGGCTTGAATACATTGTTTATTATTTTATAATTACGAAATGTTGTAATTGAAACTCGTGTACGTACAAGCATACCTGTGTTACACATTTATAACACTGAATATTTTATCTCCTATAGCAAGTTTTTCAGTTTGTGCGATGTTCTCAGAGGTGCAGTTCTTTAAAAATGTGATAGATTAAGCTTAATACTTATTTCTTAATAATTTATGTAAAAAAAAGTCTTATTAATAATAATTCTAAAATTCAATTGCACAAGAAAACATAATATAAATTCTTACGAAATATGAATTCATATAAGTTCCTGAAATCTGCATTCTTACCATAAGTTTGAATATACAAAACATACGAAACGTTCCCCTTTTCTCAATTAAAGACTTTCTTTTAGATTAAAACGTTCGAAGATGTAATAGGAAACTGTAAGTGTTCCGTATGCTGACGATACAAACATGTGGTAAACATGAATTGAAATTAGATATTTACTATTTATTATACATGGTGACTGGTGAATTACTATCAATATTTAAGGAGAATACTCGGTACATGATTCTCATTCGAATTATGTAAAAAAAATAGGTACTTAATTTTTGACCAAATTTCCGTATAAATAAATAAAGTGTGGACACGTTCCAAGTGTGGACGCGTGCGGCGGCGTGCTGATACAACACCACGCCGCCGCACGCGTGTGTGTGTGTGTGTGTGTATACCTAATCTGTAGGGTGTTCATACGATGCGTAATTAATTACATAACTTTTGGTTAACTTTACCTAGAAGTTTATTAATATTTATGTTATATTAATTTTTATTTTGTCATATATGATCGTCAAATATCACGTCCTCAAGTATCGATAGTAATTCACGAGTCACCCTGTATACATATAGTTTAGTTAATATTTTAGTATAAATACTCTGACTTAAGTTCATTAAAAATATATTTAAAGACGTTTTAGCTCATTTGTTATTGTATATAAAGTTTTTCTTGTATATACGTATATTTTTTTGTTGTATACATTAGAGTAATAAGTCACATATTAAAGGTATTCCTTTGTTGTTTCGCTACTTGAGTTATTTTTATCCGGGCTGGCGGCGTACCGGCACTGTTATTTCCATTCTCGGTACTTAACTTAATTTGAGATACCTCGGGACAGATATTTAGCTTGATAGATGCTAATAGCTTTTATTGATATATCCTAGGTGTTATAGTTTACTAGCTATTGGCTGTTAGGGATTGTAAATTGTGTTAATATCACCATCCCGAGCGTCTGAGACCATCAAATTGCCGGTTGTTATGCCATCTGACTTATCTGATAGTTCGTAGGCATTTGTTATGTGTAAGTTGTCTTGTGTCAAATACTATATAGGTATATCATGTTTTTTAGCATACCTATTACTTATAAGTAGATATTTTATTAATATTGTATACATTCTAATATCTACCTATTTGAAATATTTACGTACTGATAATAAAATATATTATACATTATGAATCAAATTGAAACAAATACGACACTCAAAAGCAAGCTTGCCCTCTAATGATATGAATAGATTTACTTGAATAGAAGTCTAGTTGTTCTATGTAAGTGTAGTTTTAAAACATTTAATAGTTTATTTGGAAGTTAAATGCTTGCATTACAGAACTGATCCAGTCTCTAATTACGATTACAAGGCCTAGGAGATGTAAACCTTAACTCGGAGGCGTCAATCCGCCCCAGGGAGCGTTTGAACGGGAGAGTCGACTTGCCTGGTACTTGATTTAAATAGATTCCACTTGCTTGTAGAATAAAACATTAATATAAAGAAATTAATAACATTCGATGTTGATATATAGTTACTTATGATTTATATTTTTGTTGTATATATATGTATTGTTGGAGTATTGCAATTTAATCTCATGTAAACATGTATGTAATACAATTTTCGACTGTACTCTTTTAAATGAAACTAAGGTTTTCAGACGATATTAAGTTTGAAACGTCTCTAACTAAAATTAATATATCTATAGACACTTTCATCTCGTCTGTCCATTCACGGTTGAGTGTGTAGATATAAAATTAAAAAAAAACACGTAGTATACGAAAACCTTAGTATAATTTTTGATTACTTTTCATCGATCGTAGTCACGAGCATAAAAGCGTACTAACTTATTTAATTTCAATATAAAACATACAAAAAATCGTATGTATTAAAAAAAAATTAAGTAATATTCATACATATAAAGATTTTGAATACAAAGGCAGCACAGCTATCGTTGTAGCCTGTAATTAGCGGGTACATCCATCTGTATAGCCCGTGGCCCGTAATTAAAACATAGTTAGGAAGAAACGCCACAGATTAATGTCTTAATAGAAATATAACACATTACATTAATAAAGGGAATTATCGCTTTCCTTACGCCCAAATGATTCACTGTTTTTTTTTATATATTCAGTTGCTATTAATATATAACAAGGGAATGTTTTTGTTATTTTATCTGTGGTTATTATAAATTATGTTTCTGATCTGTTTTTTTTTTAATTTTGTTATGGACTAACGATCTCATTATTTCTGGCCAGTTATTTTATAAGTTAATTCGTTTTGTAATTAATATGTTTTATATTCTCATTAAATTAATAATGAATGATATTAAATTAGAAAAAAATATATTTTGCATATAGGTTTATAAAAATAATTTAAGCATTCGAAATGACAGTCCTCCATTTTGAAGGCATCCATAGACTATGCCTTCTATACTAGACATACATCACATATTCACGTAAGTACATATATTAAAGCGAGTTATATTTTCATACAAGCATTAACCATAGACAACAAGTGTGAACAGGGACAAAGCTCCATCAGAACAGGTATAGCCGTCATGTTTTATGTTTCCCAGTGACATGTTAATAAACGCTTCAACGCCACGCCCCGTCTGCGGACACCTTACACTCTTTCTGAGTCTAGATTTAAGAAAACTTTGACAATGCATTCAGGTTCAAGCTTGCTTTTCAGAATTCTTTTTTTTAATTTAGTCTTTGAAGGTAATTATGTTTTTTTTTCTTAAGATTTTTGATTGCCAGTTATAATTGTAAGGTTTACGATCTAATGGATAAAGTCTAAGGTGAGAAATTTTGAAATCGATATTTTAATGTCAGGAATATTTTTAAAATATTTTATTTTTTATTTCTTAATTAGTAAAAGATTTATTCCAAACAAATTACATTAGTATCGTTCTGAGGTGCTTCTATAATGATATAGACATTTAAATATTTAAAAAAATGGCGGGCCTATAACTGAAATGAATTGACGTAATTTTTATAATCTACTGTAATTTATATATGTAGAATAAACTGTCAAAATAAAGTTATTTTAAATTAAATTATAAAAATGCTAGTCTAGTGCTTTTATTTTATATATAAGTACCAATATACTCTGAATTATTGTTAACTGAATACAAACCAGTTAAAAACCAAGCTTAATAGATTTTCCGTAGCCATATAATATGAAGTATAATCTGTTGCTTGCACCTTTAATGTCTATTCCTTCAATTGCTTATTCAAAACTTTATTACTAAGGTGAATTATTCATAAGAGTTCATTATCCGTTTTCATGTTTGGTGCAAAAATATTACATACATATGTTAATGATTAAAAAAATCTAGTTTTTTTTGAAGAAGCTTTTTATATGTCTAACCTCATTTGTAATTTAGTTTATATTCAGTTAGGTTAAATTGTGAATATATAAATGTATAAGAGTAATTTATGTTTTCCATTTGATATATTTAATATGTATCAATATGTGATATTAGTGTCGGAGCCATTGTGTGTGCTGTGACAAATAAATAGCCCGCCATTAGCGTCTGTCAGGCGTCCACGAAATTAATATGGGAACCTACAGCAGATTGACAATCATAAGAGGAACTAGCGACTCCATTAGAATACTCAAATGGAGACATAGAAGGATATTTTTACTTCATATTATATAAAAAACAAGATATTTTTTTTATTAATCTGCGGTTTTATTGAT